ATCACACAGTACCACATCCTCCAGACCACACAGTACCACACTCTCCAATTCACACCATACCAAACTCCCCAATTCATACCATACCAAACTCTCCAATTCGTACTATACCAAGCTCTCCAAATCGCACGGTGCCACACTCTCCAGATCACAGTGTACCACCTTCTCCAGACTACGCTGTACCACACCCTCAAGATCACACCGTACCACACCCTCAAGATCAGTGTACTATCTTCTCCAGATTACACCGTACCACTCTCTCCAGATCACACTGTACCACACCCTCAAGATCACAACGCACCACACACTCCAATTCACACCATACCAAACTCTCCAGATCACTGTGTACCACCCTCTCCAGATTACGTCGTACCACACTCTCCACATAACACTGCATCACAACCTCAAGATTACACCGTACCACACTCTTCAAATCACACAGTGCCACGCTTTCTTTCTGGAAGCATTACTAGATGCCTTCAGCGGGTAGTTAGTAATCTTGTTTTCTTCTGTTATGCTTTATATGTCCCTGTGTTAACTACCCATACCTGCGCCCTTTGAAAACTGACAACAGTCATTATCATTGATTCCTCCAGTCCATGTGTCTGGAGTCTTCCTAAGGCAAGGATTTAGGAGGAAGTAGTTTATTTGAGAGGGGCTCCCAGAAAGCTTTGTAAAGGAGTGGGATGGTGAGAATGAGGAGAGTGGAAACCTAAGATAAATGTCCTCATGAACAGGTTAATGCTGCATCAACTGGGGTTCAGCCCCACTGGAGACCTCCTAAGAAACTGTGAAGCACACCTCCAAATTTGCACACTGAAACGGGAGATCAAACAGGAGCCCCTCCCTGGCTGAAGATCACCTTTGGGGCTAACTCCCTGGCTCTTCCAGCTTGTTCTATGCACGGGTGAACCTGCTCCCACAATCAGAGAACGCTCATAGACAGAGAGTGGCAGGAAGTCATTGGTACAGAGGAACCATCTGAAGGTCACCTCCAGGGTGGGCCAGCTGGAGGTGGGTGCTGCAAAAAAGCATCTGTTCCCATCCTCTGTGTATGACAGAAGGCACCATACATAGGTGTGCACTGTCATTACCTCACTTAACCCTCACCTCCCTGGGTGAGGTAGGTATTATGTGTCACTTCTGTAGGTAAAGGGAATTGAGGCCCAGAGAGGTTACAGCCTTGCTCAAGATCACATAGCAGGTAAGTGACAGATGTAAGATGTGAACCCAGATCTGCCTGCCTCAAAAAAATAGTTGTTAACAACACTTTTTGCAATCAGAATGTTTGACCCATTGTTGTTTTCATCACACACTCTCTTTCACCTCCCCACCTTCCACTCCCAGTCCAACCTGATGCGCCTAAGAAATATTTGTCCTTTGCAGGTCACATTCATCAAGCACCAGCTGTGTGTCAGGTGCCAGGCCAAAATGAATAAAGGCTTCCCCCTTCCTTCAAGGAGCTTCACTGAGCAAGGTCTCTGGAGAGGCTTTTGCTCACTGCCAAGTCTCTCCCAGATTGACCTGTCAGCAGCAGAGTATCATCTCCCATCTCAGGGCAGAAATAGTCTTAGGGAAAGGCTGCATTGCCATGTTCCAGTTTCCCACACAGCACAGTGAGCCCTTCATTCACTGCCAATCCTACAACACTGTCTTGAGTATTAGGAGATGCTGTGCCACTCCAGCGATGACTGCTTTTGCTGGTGCATTACCAACGACCCTCTCACACTGCACAACTGCATGTGTAAAGATGGCCCTTTAGAGGAAGACTGAAGCACGTAGGCCTCCCCTGAGTCTTGAAGAGCCTCTAATGTGTCCAAGGCTTGAAGACCACCAATGTCGGGGTCTTTGTGTGGGGACTAAGCTGCCAGAGAACACTCAATGGGACTGAGAACTGTAGTGAATAGGATTACTTAGCTGAGCATCTTCAACTGCATAATGCATTGTTTAGGAAATACTGTATTTGGTAAAAATGTTGTAGAAGATTTAACAAAAATATAAGTAGACACATACAGATTTTAATATTAAAAATTCATCAATAGCAAGCGTTGTTGCAGGAAGAATAACCCTGGAGTACAAGAGCAGACCCCCCAAGAGTCTTACTTGTGTGAGGCCTCCCCAGCCTCCTGGATGAGATGGGGAGGGAGAGATTGGCCAGGGGCTCATCACATGCATTCCCTCCTCCTAGATACACAGCTAGATGGGGGTAATATGAAGGAGCTGTGGCCAGAGAGAGATGAGTGGAGGTGGCATATGCTGTTTCCAAGCCTGGGCCTCAGTGTTTCCTGTGAGGTCCTCTGCTCTCTCTATCTCTCTTTCCTCATCTCCTAGGGGAAATGTCAATAGTACCACTGGAAAGAGGAAGCCCAGATTCCTGAATCACCATGTGGAAGGCTGTCCTCCAAACACCTGGCTTAACTACAATAGGAGCAAGAACTAAATGTTGGAGGTTTACAACACTTCTCCTGAATATGCTCCAACATTTAGATGTGCTGAAACTGATTACCGCAGCTGGCGAGGGAAACTGGGACAGACAGGTCCTGAGGTACCACTTGTAACTTTCCTAAATGAAGAGAAAGACTTGCCCCAACTCAAGCCCTCGGAAAGTATGGATAGTGTTTCTGAGCAGACCCAGAGGTCACTGAGGGTGGCTAGAGCCAAAGTCTAAGGCCTATGTGCTGTTGACCCAGTGATCAGTTGTAGGTGAGGAGAAGTGTGTTTGAGAGAAACAGTGTTTGAGTGTGACACTCTAATACTGTCTAGTATAAATCACTGGGAACTGATTCCAACATCATCCAAACAACACATCCTCCAAAACTGAGCAAGTTAAACAACATTTTGGAGTTCTAAGAAAGACCTGCAGTAATTCAGAGAGGAAATTTCTAAGCTGTTAGACACAGTAGTAAAACAGTATCAGTGGAGAATGGCAGCAGAGCCAGGGGACCAATAGCACCTGTCATGGTCCGAGCCTGATCAGAGACCTATTAAAGAGACAGGCAGGGGTGAGACTTCAGGATCCATGACCCTGGGGAGGGACATGAGAGTGGGAAAGCTAAGCAATCCTTTGGTGCTAATTTGCAAAGAGCATTGGCCGCTAGGGACTCTGGAGACAGCAGTGTTAATTCTACAGGGGTTGAATTGGAATTCTATAGGGGTTAAATTGGAATTCTACAGGAGTTGTATTGGAATTCTACAGGAGTTGAATTGGAATTCTATAGCAGGAGTTGAAAATTCTACAGGAGTTGAACTGGAATTCTACAGGAGTTGAACTGGAATTCTACAGGAGTTGAACTGGAATTCTACAGGAGTTGAATTGGAATTCTACAGGAGTTGAATT